CCGGGGGGGCCCGGCCGGAGCGCGGCTCATGGCTCACATCCCTCCCTGGCCACTGGCCAGCCGCTCTTCCCGGGAGGCCCGGGGGCCGCCCGGCTCCTCCGTGGAGCTGCTGAAAGCACCGGCAGCCAAAGCCGGTTCTGCCGCCCCGATTTCGGTGGGGGAAGCACGTGTGGGTACCCCGGTGGGCGCGGGGCGCAGTGCCAAGGTGTGTCCCCGGCCTGGGGTCCCCGAGCACGGTCGGGACAGGGGGAAGGGGAGGTTTTTTTACGTCCCGCCTGGTCCCTGTCCTTCGCCGGCCGGGTTTGGTCGGGATGGAAAGTCTGAACCTGCCGGTCCGGCCGCGGCCGCGCCCGTAATGAGGGGTTTGGAGCAGAAACGAGAACGGCGGCTTCACCTGGGAGCTGCTCCCCGGCCGAGCCCCCGGGACCCCGGCACCGCCACTGCCGCCCGCCCCCGGGCGGGACACCGGGGGACACAGAGCTGGCTCCGCTCTGCTTTGGCTGAGATTAAATAAACTGCTTTTATTTGGGATTTAATTAACAGCAGCTGTTGGAGGGGGAGGGTAGATCCCAGTTGTTCCCTCGTGCCTCAGTTTCCCCAGCACTGCGTGTGCCGGCCCCGAGCGCTGTCCCAGCCCTGTCCTGGGTGTCACCCGTGTCCCCACACCCCATGCCACGCCGACAGGACGGACACACCGGGGCCGGAGCTCCTGGCAGCGGGAGAACCGGAGGCGCGGGGTCCCCCGAGTTCCCCCCCCACCCCCCACGCTGATTTATCGCTCTCGTTAGCACCCACCGGGGCGCATCTGGCCGCAATTAGAGCCGGTTCAGCGTCCCCCGCCCCGGTGTCCCGGGGTCTCGGCGGGGGCCGCATCCTGCCCGGTGGGGATGGGTGGGTGGGAGGGGGGGTTAGCGGCGGCCACCGGTACGGCCTCCCCCCGCGCCGGTGACGTCAAGCGCTGACGCCGATCCGCCCCCTCAGCCGCCCGCGGGCTTGGCCGGCCGTGACGTCTCTCACCGCCACCGCCACCGCCGTTAACTCCTTCCCCGGTGCCGCCTGCGCCGGGCTCGCTGTGCCCCCGGCTGAGCCACGGCAGTGACCGTCCAGTGATGGTGTAACCCCCCCCTCCCCCGGTGAACCGGAGGAGCGGCTGTTCCCTGGCTGAACCCCGGTGCCACCGGCACACACACACCGGTGACAAACATCGGGGCGGTGACACGGGACAGGCCGTGACACGGAAGGCGTGGGGACAACAGGAATGGTGGCTACTGTCCGGACACGCTGCCGGTAGAGCCGGTGGCCTGTCCCGGTGTGACATACACGGCGGGTGCCCGGCTGGCCCCGGAGGTCCCCGTGAGGCCCCGTGGCGGTGCCTGGCCCGGTGTGTTTCTTTATCGTAACCTTTTTACAGCCGGGGTTCGGCACAGGTGGCCGGTTCCTGTGCCCGGTCCCGGTTCCCGTGCCCAGTTCCCGATTCCCAGTGGCAAGTTCCCGGTGCCCTGTGGCCGGTTCCCGCGCCCAGATCCCGGTGCCCTATGCCGGTCCCCTGTGCCCAATTCCCGGTGCTTGGTTCCCGTGCCCAATGGCCAGTGCCCCGTGCCCAATTCCCCACTCCCGGTGGCTAGTTCCCGTGCCCAGTTCCCGGTGCCCTATGGCAGTGCCCTGTGCCCGGTTCCCGGTGCCGTTGCCGTGCCCGGTTCCCGCCCCTCCCTTTGTGTCCATCAGCCCCGGCGGGGCGCGCGCCGCGGGGCCACGTGACCGCCCCTCCCCCGCGCTGACGTCATCCCAGGGCCCCGCGCGCTGTTGTCCCGTTTACCCGCCGGTCGCCGCGGCGACGGGCCCGGGGCGGGGCCGGGCCGGGGCGGGGCACCGCCTCCGCGGGGCGGCGGCCACGCCCCGTATGCAAACGACGGCGGGCAAGGACGTCATCTGCAGCCAATGGGGGCTCGACGCGGTGAGGTCACCGCGACGGCGCCGCCTATTTAATGCGGCGCGGGGCGCGCGGCGGCGGCAGACGCGTGTGCGCGCGCGCAGGAGCGGGGCCGCGGCCGGTGCGCACCGGGCGCCTCCCCCGCCCTCCCCGCCCCGCGCTCGCCCCGGTCCTCCCCCCGCCCCGGCGCCGTTTCCCCCGCAGCCGGGCGGGGGAGGAGGATGGAAACACCCTTCTACCATGATGATGTGTTGAGCGGCCTCGGCAGCGGCTTCGCCCCGTCCTCCGGCAGCAGCGGGCTCCTCCTGCCTTTCCCCGGCGGCAGCATGATGAAGAAGGACGCGCTCGGGATGGCCTTACCGGAACAGGTGGCGGCGGCGCTGAAAGCCCCCGGCGCGGCCAGCGGCGAGGCGCCGGGACTGCTGGGCTCGGCCGAGCTGGGGCTGCTCAAGCTGGCGTCCCCGGAGCTGGAGCGGCTCATCATCCAGTCCAACGGGCTGGTCACCACCACCCCGACCAGCGGCCAGTTCCTCTACCCTAAAGCGGCCGCCTCCGAGGAGCAGGAGTTCGCCGAGGGTTTCGTCAAGGCGCTGGAGGACTTGCACAAGCAGAACCAGCTGGGCGGCGGCGCGGCGGGGAGCGGCGGCGGCGCGGGCGGCGGCGGCGGGGGAGGAAGCGGCGGCGCGGGCGAGCTGCCCTCCGCCGGGATGGCCCCGGAGCCGCCGGTCTACGCCAACCTCAGCACCTACCCGGCCGTCAGCTACGCCGCCGACCCCGGCCCGTTCGCGGCGCCGCCGCCGCGGCTGCCGCCGCCGCCGCCCCCGCCGCCGTTAAAGGACGAGCCGCAGATCGTGCCGGAGGTGCCGAGCTTCGGGGAGAGCCCGCCGCTGTCCCCCATCGACATGGACACGCAGGAGCGCATCAAGGCGGAACGGAAGCGGCTCAGGAACCGCATCGCCGCCTCCAAGTGCCGCAAGAGGAAGCTGGAGCGGATCTCCCGGCTGGAGGAGAAGGTGAAGAGCCTCAAGAGCCAGAACACGGAGCTCGCCTCCACCGCCAGCCTGCTACGCGAGCAGGTCGCCCAGCTCAAGCAGAAGGTGCTCAGCCACGTCAACAGCGGCTGCCAGCTCCTGCCCCAGCACCAGCACCAGGTGCCGGCGTACTGACCCCGGGCACGGACCGAGGGGTCCCGGGCGAGGATCCGGGGGGAGCGCCCGCCCTACCCCGGGCATGGACCGAGGGGAACGGGGGAAGCGCCTACCCCGCCCCGGGAACGGACCGAGGGGTCCCGGGCACGGACTGAGGGGAGCGGGGAAGCGCCCGCCTTGCCCCGGGTATGGACCGAGGGGTCCCGGGCAGGGACTGGCAGGAGCCGGGGACGCGCCCGCCTTGCCCCGGGCAGGGATTGGGGGGAGCGCCCCGGGCGCCGACTGAGGGGTCCCGAGGGGAGGAAGAAGAGCGATGATCGCCCCCTCCCCTCCACCTCCCCGGACACGAACTGAGGGGTCCGAGGGGAGGAGCAGGGACCGGCTCCTGACGGCGGGCACCGAGCGCGCCCCGCTCCCCGCGCACGGAACTGCGGGGAGGGACGAGCCGGGGATGTTCCGCGCACGGACTGAGAGGGGCCCGGGCCGCCCCGCCGGGCCCCTCCGCGCCCCACACATTCCAGTCGGGTCCCAGTAAAACCCCGCCACACGGAGAATTGGCCTCTCGCTGTTTGCTGCGCCGCGGAGGGACGGGAAGGGACGGGAAGGGAAGGGGCGGCGCGGGCAGGAAGTGGCGCGGCCGGGTGCCATCTTGGGGCGGGGGGGGCACCGGGGACCGGGGGGGTTTGGGGAGTTTTAGGGGGCGATGGGGATCGGGGAGAGGGGAGCGAGGCCCCTCCAGAGCTGGCAAAGAGGCTCCGGGAATCGCTGGGGAGGGTGGAGGGCGAGGGGGTCCACGGGGTTGTTTTTTGGGGGAGGGGGGTGTTGGGGGTAGCTGGGAAGGGTGGGGGATGTTGTGGGGAGGGGGTAGTGAGAGGTTGGGGTGTTGCGGGGGGGTTATGGGGTTATTTGGGCTCTCTTGGGGGGGAACATGGGCATATCCGGAGTCCCCATGTATGAGGAGGTGGGCGAGGGGACCCCACTGCTGGTCCTGGCTGTGGCTCTGCCCTGCCAGACCCTCTCCAAGTCGGGGGATTCACCAGCACCCCCCTGTCCTGGGCCCCAGGGGTTTCCCCGAGGCACCCAGCGAGGCCGGGCCTCCACTGCTCCTCCCAGACATCGCCAACACCCTTGGGCTTCCCGGCACCGCGGTGGCTCCTCCTTCGTGTCCCCCATCCCGGGGAGCAGCGCCCGAGGGACAGACCCTGTGTCCCCGGAGCGTTTGGGGACCCTTCCAGCAGCAGGATCGCTCCCGGCTGCGAGCGAGCGTGCTCTGCCCCGGGAGGCTCCCCGGGACCCCAGGCTCGGTGCCGGGCCGTGCCGCGGAGCCTCCCCGGGGACGCGGTGCCAGCCGGCTGCGGTTTGCCGGAGGAAGCGCCGGCCCCGTCCCGGCGCGGTTTGTGCTGCGCCCCGGATGTGCCGCTCCGGCACCAAGAGGGACGAGGAAGCCACCTGACCGTGTCCCCGTGGCCTCAGTGTCCCTGTGTCCCCGCATCCTCATGTCCCCAGACCCCATTGTCCCCGCATCTTGATGGCCCCAGGTCCCTTTGTCCCCAAATTCCCACATCCCAATGTGGCACTGTGTATCCCGAGGTCTCCACTTCCCAAGATCCCTTTGTCCCCAAGTCCCCGCATTCCCTGATCCCTTTGTGGCCGCTTCCCGGTGTCCCCACGTGTCCCCGGAGAGCGCGGGATGCCGCCGGCAGGGCTGGCTCCCGGTGCCGGGGGGTTCTCACGGCCCCGGGCTGGGAGGTGCGCGGGAGGAAACAGACACGGGAGTTTTCTGGGGGGGTCCTTCCCGGTGCCCGCAGGGTCCCCGTGCTGCGGTGCCGCCCGGTACCGACAGGGGGCTCCGCGGGCGGCCCCCGCCTCCCCCGGGGCTGATAAAGGCGGCGGGACCGGCAGCGGCAGCGGCACCGGGCGGGATGGCCCGGGGCGCACTCCCCCTGCTCTGCTGCGCCGCTGCCCTGCTCGCTGCCGCAGGTACCGGGCACCGGGAGGGTCCGCGGGGTCCCGGGGCCACAGGAGATCTGCAGCACTGAGGGGCTGGCTGCTTCCCGGAGCCACCGGCGGGTGGGTCTGTGGCCTCCCCCCGCCACGTTCCGGCTCTCGGGAGGGGCGTGCGGGTGCTCCGGGGCACCGGGGAAGTTCCACGTGTTGCCTCCCGCTCTGCACTGGCGGCCAGGCGGGCCGCTGGAGGGGTCCCGTGTCCCCCCCCCCCCGGGGCTGGGGTCACCGGGGGGCTTCATCTGCTCACCGGCAGCGCCGGACCGGAGGACCCTGCCCCTTCCAGACGATGCGGCGCCGGTGCTGCCAAACCGGCTGGTCCTGGCACCGCGGCACCGCCTCAGCACTCCCGGGACAAAGGGTGCCCCGGCATTCCGTGCTACTGTGGGGCCCCCGTTCCCAGCCTGGGCCCCCCGCACCCTCCCTGCACCCCGAGGGGGCCTCGGCTCACCCATCCTGGCACAATGGGTGCTTGGCCCGGGCTTCAACACCATCCTGGCAGAGGGTGGCAGCTGTGGGGACCCCCCCAGCCACACCGTGCCCCTGGGTGCCGGCTCTGCCTCGGGACATTTCTGTTCGGAGTCCCCCTGGGGCCAGTCTGGACTTGCTCCTCCTCTTGTGCAAACAGGATTTGGGCAGATAAGGGGCACTGCCAGCACTGCCCGGCAAACCTGCTCCGTCCCACGTGGCCACCGGAGCGTCCCCACCACGCCTGGCCCCGAGGGTGGCCCGTGGGTGCCACAAGGGCTGGCTCAGCACGTGTCCCTGAGCCGTGGCACTGCCCGCTGCTGCTTGTCCCCAGCAGCGCTGTGCCCATGGCACGGCAACTCGGGAAGCTCTTCTGGTTCGGGAATTCTGGGATTTGATCCCAGTTTTCTGTGTGATAAAAAACACTGTCTCCATCCCGTTCAGCCACAGCCACCAGCCAGGGGAGTCACAGCGTGACTCAGTCCAGCCCTGATGTGGGAAGAGTTGGTGCACCTCCATCCAGTGCCCCTGGATCAAAATCAACTCCAAAATCTCCATCCAGCACCCCTGGATCAAAACCAACTCCAACATCTCCATCCAGTGCCCCTGGATCAAAACCACCTCCAACATCTCCATCCAGCACCCCTGGATCAAAGCCACCTCCAAAATCTCCATCCAGCACCCCTGGATCAAAACCACCTCCAACATCTCCATCCAGCACCACCACAACACCAACTCCATCCCATGCCACGGCATCAGCAGCATCTTCAGCACCTCCATCCAGCACCAGCACAGCACCAGCTCCATCCAGTACCCCTGGATCAATGACACCTCCAACATCTCCATCCAGAACCAGCACAGCCTCATCCAGCACCACCACAGCCCCAGCTCCATCCCACACAAATGCATCCAGATCCACACCGCATCCATCCAACTCAACAGCAACGCCAGCCCCATCCTCACCCAGACCTGCTTCTCCCAGTTCCCCCGCACCCACAGTGAGCCTGGGTCCCAACAGCACCAGCAGTGCCAGCACCAGCACCAGCTCCAGAATGACAGCAGCCACTGATGGCACAGCTGGCAGCTCCAGTGAGAGCCAGGCTGGGGGGCACTGGGCAGATGGGGTGTGGGCATGGGTCCCCCCTAGATCCCCCACTTGGGGCTGCACTCACAGGGGTGCAGGTCCCAAGGTCCCCCCTGGCTGCTCCCCCCTCCTTGGGTGGGGTTGTTGAGGGCTTCCCTTTTCTCCCCCAGTCTCTGCCAGGGGGTCGGAGGGCCCTGGGCTGGTCCCCCGGGGGTGGAGGTGACACAGGAGCTGGGTGCCAGGTCTGTGATGGGTGGGTGGGGTGGTGGCAGTCGGGTGACTGGAGCCAGGCTTGAGCCACCTCTGTCTCCGTGGTGCTTGAGGGCTGGGCACGAGTCTCAGTGGGGGGAAATAACGGGGTGCCAGGGGAATAACGGGGTGCCGGGGGAATAACGGGGTGCCAAGGGGAATAACGGGGTGCCCGTCTCACCCCCGCAGGGCAGCACCCCACTGAGCCGAGCCCTGCTGTGGTGGTGATCATCTCGCTCTCCGTCTGCGTGCTGGTGGCGGGGGCGGCCGCGCTGCTGGTGCGGCTGTCCCGGCGCGGGACCCCCCGCTTCCAGCACCTGGATGAGGTGCCCATGGTGCGTGGGGGGGCCGGGAGGGGCAGGGGGGGCAGCAGGTGCAGGGTTTGGGCGCTCACCCCGCTCTCTTTCTCTCCTTCCCCAGAGCAAAGTGATGGAGAAGTCCCCTGCCAGCCCCCCACCCCCAGCTGACCCCCACTCTGCAGCCCCCCGGGCTCCCCACACTGCTGAATAAAGGAGCCGCAGCCCCGGTTCTGGTTTCCCGTTTGCCATGTGCTCTGCAGCCTGCCCGGGGAAAACCCCCGCTCCCGGGGGAGGCCCCAACCGCTGTCGGGGTCCCCCGGGCCGGGCTGGCGGCCCCGGGGTGTTCCCGGTCCGGCGGGGTGGGTGCGGGGTGCGCGGCGGTGCTGCCCGGGGTGGGGGGAGCCGCGCAGCCCCCCCGGCGAGGTGGGATGGGAGGGAGCGAGCGGCCAGGCACGCACGGCGCTTTCCTTCTGCTCCGCTGCACTCGGCCGGGGCCGCGCTCGCCGCGAGGACCGGGCACCGGTAAGGGGCTGCGGGCGGGGCCGGGGGGCTGGCGGCGGCGGGGACCCCCGTGCCGGGCATCGGCAGATCCTGGGATTGGGATGAGGCCGCTCCCGATGCTGGCAAATCCCGGGGGGGCTCGGTCCTGGGGGCTCCGCGGGTGGAGCCGTGAGCCCCGGTGCGCCCCGGTGCTCGGGGGCGGCGGGTGGCGGCCGTCCGGGGTGGATCATCAGCGTGGCACCGGTGGGTTCGCGACCCGCTGGGTGCCCTGGGCTTGGGGCCACTCCCGGTGGCCTCGGATCCGCGTCCCTGTCCCCATCCAGCCCAAGGGAGCACCGGGAGTGGGGCGGGGGTGCCCCGAAACCCGAGGTAGGGGCTGAGCCCGGCCGAGAGCCGGTGGCCATAAATGACGGTGTGGGGGAGCCCCCGTGTCCCGGCCCCGGGGTGTCCCCAGGGTGTCCCCAGCCGCGGGAGGGGGTCCCCGCCGCCGAGCCCCTCCCGGCCGCGGCTCCCGGAGCTCCCCCCGCAGGGACGGCGATGAGACGGAGCCGGACAGCGCTGCCTTTCCTCGGCGCGGAGGTGAGACCGCCACCGGGGGCCACCGGGGGGGCGAGGGGTGTCCCGGGGGGCGAGGGGTGTCCCCAGTACGAGCGTCCCAGCACCGGCCCCCCGGGCAGCAATAACCGGGCTGGCGGCGCTGAGCGGGAATTAATTATCCCCTTAATGGGCGGTTAATTATTATTCACCTCTGCGTAATTGCGCGCCGGCTCCGGGGGATTTTCCGGCGGGGTCCCGGGGGAAGTCAGGGGGGTCTTCTCCGGTGGCGGCGGGACGAGGAGGAGGAGGACGGGGGGGAGTCCCGGTGGCTCCGAGGGCTGCGTGCGGAGCCGCTCCCGGTGCACCGGCCGTGCCTTTCCCCGAGCGCCCCTCGCCCGGTAACACCCCGGTACCCCCGGCTGCGGCTCCGCACCGTGTCCGGCAGGGGGCGCCAGCGCGCTACCGGCGCTCGGTACCGGCGGGCGGGGGGCGCTGCCCGGGCGGGACCCTCGGAGCGGGATCAGCAGGGAGCCCCCGGGGCCGCTCCCCGCTCCCCTCACCGCCGCTCCGTTTCCCGGCAGCGCTGCCGCGATCCCTCCGAGGCCGCCCCGTCGGGCCCGGGCCCGGGAGCGGCGGTGGGCGCCGTGCGCCGGCGTTTCTCCGGGACCCCGTTGCTGCCGCCGCTGGGCTGCCGGTTGGCGGAGGCGGCCCGAGCCCCCGAGCCCGAGGCTGCCCGGGTGGTGTTCACCATCGAGGAGAGCGGCCCGAGCAGCGGCGATGAGTCCGAGCCCCCCCGGTAAGGGCGGGACGGGGAGCGGGGACGTGACGCCCCGGTGGCACCGGGAACGGGTTACCGGACAAGGCACGGCTGGCGGGGACACTCCCGGCTTCAGCACCGGCGGCCGGACAGCGGCACCGGGGCAGAGCGCCCGGTGGGTTGGGGACAAACCCCTCTGTCACCAACCCCGCCGTTCCAGCCCCGGGATGTCCATTCTGATCAGCGTCTGTCCCTGTCACCCCCTCCAACACTCCTGTCCTCCACTGTCCCCACCACACTGTCCCCGTGACACCCATCCCTGTCACCCCCATCCCCTGTCCTCACCCTCCTCACCCCCTCCTTGTCCCCATCCCGTGGCCCAACCGGAGCCACCAAAGGGCCGGTCTGGCCCTGCCCGAGGTGACCTCGGTCCCTCCCGCAGTGGCTCGGGCCCGGCTGTGCTGCTGCGGGGCTATTTTTGGGCCATTCCCCCTGTCCCGTGCCTCTTCCAGCCCGGCTTGTGGGGACAGCAAGGAGCTGGCACAGCCGAGGGACACGGCTCTGGTGTCACTTGTCCTCCACCCCTGCACAGACACGTGGGGACAGCGACACTCAGATAAGGACTGGCTGTACTGGGGACAGGGATTGGCTGTCCTGAGGCCAGCCCAGTCTTTGGTGCCCAGAGCTGGTGGCTGCCAGCCAGCACAGGGGGCTCTTCCCTCTTTCCCACATCCCCTGATGTCCCTCTGTCCCAGCATCCTGATGTCCCCACTGTCGTGCTCGCAGTCCCTTGAAAGCAAACGTGACCCCTCCAGGACCCCCATCCGGTGGGTTTGGGGTTCCCCGCCAGTGCTGTGGTGGCAGGGGGGCCCTGTTGCTGTCCCTCCTGGCTCCCTGCCAGCTGCTGGACATTTTTGTGGCCATCGGGAACAGCAGGTAGCCACATCCTGCTGCATCAGGCTGGGCAGGTGCCAGCTCCCACAGCCCGGCCAGTGGGTCCCCCACAGTGTCACTGTCACCAGCTGAACCTCACCCTGCTGCTTCCCGTTCCGCTCGGGAGTGGCTCCAGGAGGGGACAGCACCGGGGAGGGGCCGGGGCACGGTGTGGGGTGGGTTTGGCTCTCACAGGTCCCTCGGTGGCACCATGGCATGTCCACACCGCGTGCCCGGGATGCTCCAAGCTCAGCTGTGTCCCTCGGTGGCACCGTGGCACAGCCACACCGCCCGCCCGGGATGCTCCGTGCTCCGCTGTGTCTCTCGGTGGCACCGTGGTACGTCCGCTCCGTACGTCTGGGTCCCTGGGGGCTTCGTGGGACATTTTTCCGTGTGTCCGGGCAGAGCACCCCTGCCCTTTCGGGAGCAGCTGCCGCCTCGGGGACAGCAGGGTGGCCGGTGGCACCGGGCCAGCGAGGGGCCACGTGCCCGGGCCGCCAGGCACACCGGGGGGGGACCCGCTCCCTGCGCCGGCTGCCGGAGCCAGACAGTTGTTTAATTTCCCAGGCGCAGGGCGGGAGGGGGATGGAAAGTTTCCCGGGGCTGCCGGGGCCGGGACGGCCGCACGCTTCCTGCTCCGCACCGGGGGCAGCGGGACCTCGCCGCCGGCGCGGGGGTCCCTGAGCCGGGCCATGCTGCCCACCACGCGCTGCTCGCCGGGGGCTTCTCCGGCCACGTCCCCCCGCGGTTCCCCCCGCAGTTCCCCCCGCAATTCCCCCGTCTTCTTCAGGAAGCTCCTGATGAACCAGAGCATCCGCCTGCAGCGGCGCTTCACCGTGGCGCATCCCCTCTGGTAAGGGGGGGGTCCCCGCGGGGGGGGTGGCACCAGGCTGTGCTGCCGGGACGGGGACAGTGGCTCCCCCCAGAGTTGTGGCGCGTCCTCAGGGCTGTGGGGACGCGGGGGATTAGGAGGGGACGGCGGGTGTCCCCACATGGTCAGGGGCTGAGCCGGGCGGGGGGAGCGGCCGGACGAGCGGGGCTGAGCACGGACACACTCACGGCAGCCACGGCCGGGCAGGGACCCGCGGCGGGGTGGCCCGGTGGGGACGGAGGGGGGCTTTGCCCTCCAAATCAAGGCACCGACCCACCCACCGCGGCTCTTCCCCTCCCTCCCCACCTCGGAGATCTGTGGGGTTGGTTTTGGGGTGCCGGCCCCACCTGCGCCGTGGGGCTCAGCACATCCCTGCTCAGCAGCGACAGCATCTATTTATAGCGGCCCCGGCCCCCCCCCGCCACGGACACCGCTCGGAGGTCATTAACGCTGAAACGAGGGGGGTTAATTGCGCACCAAGCCCGTGGCAGGGGCTCGCGTTCCCCGGGGCTGTCCCCTGCGGTGGCAGCGGGGTCAGGGGTGGTGGCACGGGGCCGGGAACAGACGCGGGCATCACCCCGCGGGGCCGTCGGAGGGACAATGAGGCTTTGTGTCGCCGGTACCATCGGGGATGGGAAGCCGAGGCAGGAAAACAAGGGGCTGCGGGATGGCATGACGCGGTGCCGGCTGGCACTGCCACTGCCGGGGACACAGCCACAGCCACCGGGGCTGCCGGAGCGGGACGATGCTGCCGGGGAGCCGCTGCCCGTCCCGGAGGCATTCCTGCATCGGGTAGGTGCTGGGCTCCCGCCGGGCTCACGGCGGCCCCAGCGGCATCTGCGCTGTCCCGGCGCTCGGGGGTGGTTTGTCCCCGTCCCCGCTGCGGGGACTGCGGGAGGGGACGGGCGCTGGGTGGCCCTCGCTGTGTCCCTGGTGCGTGCAGCCTTTCCCATGACCCCGGGGCCGGCAGTGCAGCAGGGTGGGTGAAGTGGCCGCGGCCAGCTTGGGGGACACTGCGGGGTCACCATCCCTGTCCCCCCCGCATGCACACGGCTGCCAGGTGACTCCGCTTGGGGTGCCCCTGGGCTGTCGCCAGAGTGTCCCCAGGGGCCAGGGCTTGGCTTCTGCGTCGGTTTCTGTCCTTCGATGTCCCCTGGCTCCGTGCCGTGGCTGGGATATTGTCCCCTCCGTGGGACACGGCGCCTCGAGACGGGGCTGATGGAGGCTTTGGGGCTTTGGAGGACTTGGGACAGTGGTGCTGGTGACAGGTAGGAGGAGGGACCTACAGGAGCCAGCCCATCCCGGGTCTCTGGAGCTGGGAGCTTCAGGGCAGTGGGTCCTGTTCCAGCTGGGTGACATGGGACAGCCTGGCTCTGCTGATCCCAAGTCCCAGAGCCCACTGTGCCAGCGGGGAGCTGAGAGGCTCTATGTGCACCGAGCTGTGCCCGTTCTCAGCAGCAGCCGGAGGAGCCAGCAGGGCCAGACCGGGCACCAGTGTCACCACAGGGTCACCGAGCCGGAGCGCGCTGTGCAGAGCGAGATGGTGGCACAGGGAACCTGGCAGCATCCCCTGGGCTGAGGTCCCTGTGCCACGCGCCCCGTGCCAGCCTTGTCCCCTGTCCCATCACAGCTTTGACCTGGACAATGGCCCCCCAGGCCGGGGAGCGCTGGACCCCCAGGCCAGCCCGGGCGCGGGGCTGGTCCTGCAGGGCACCTTCTCCCATGGCCAGCGCCGCGAGTCCTTCCTGTACCGCTCCGACAGCGACTACGACCTGTCCCCAAAAGCCATGTCCCGCAACTCCTCCATCGCCAGCGACCTGTGAGTGTCCCCCCAGCCCACATCCCCTGCGACCCCCGGGCCTCCCCTCCCCTCACGCTCCCTGTGCTCCCGCAGGCACGGAGAAGACATGATCGTCACACCCTTTGCCCAGGTAGGTGCCACCGCTGTGCCCTGCCCGGGAGGGGACGCGGCCTGCAGCCAGCAGCGGGGTGGGTGGCCCGGGGGGGTCCGCCCGACCCCAGCCCCCTGTCTCCCCCCAGGTCCTGGCCAGCCTCCGCACTGTCCGCAGTAACCTGACCCACCTCCAGGACCGCGCCGGCATCAAGTGAGTCGGGGAGGGGTGGGAGGGCCAGGATGTCACCTGAGTGGGGACCCCAACCCATGGCAAAGAGGGGGCACCGCTATGGGGGTCGCAGCTACTCAGCCCCCCGTGTTTCACAGGCGAGGATCGAGCAGCAGCCTGCCCTCGGGGAGCAAGACCAGCCTCTCCGGTGAGTGCCGGGGCACGGCGGTGGGGAGGTTTTAGGACGAGCTGGCTGTCCCTGTGTCCCCAGGCGTGTCCTGCCGTGCCCTGGGGGTGCAGCGACTCCCCCCACCCCTCGCCCCAAGCCAAGGCAGAGCTGCGGCTTTGCCCTTTGGGATCCATGTCTGGTTTTCGGCAGCTCCTCCCGCCTGGCCGCCCTTCGCGGCGGTGGAAAAGCTCCCGTTGACGTCAAACCTTCCATTAATAAAACCCCGGCGGTGAGCGGGGCCCCGCGGGAGCCCGGCTGTCCCCGGGGCTGGCTGTCACCCCGCGGGGACAGCGTGGCACTCCGCGTGCCATGGGCACAGCGCGATGGGGCTGAGCCCCGCTGCCCGGGGATGCCCGATCCCGACCCCCGCGTCCCCCCGCGCCCCCCGCCGCCCCGCTCGGGGGGTGCTGTGACCCTCGGTGCGGGTGAGCCCCCGCGTGCGGTGTGGCAGCAGCCCCCCGTGCCGGGTGGCCGCGCTGCTGGCGGGTCCCTTGCCAAGCTGGCGGGTGCCCCCAGCAGAAGATGCCCACCAGAAGCTCTCACGGGAGACCCTGGAGGAGCTGGATTGGTGCTTGGACCAGCTGGAGACGCTGCAGACCAGGCACTCGGTCAGCGAGATGGCCTCCAACAAGGTAAGGGATGCTGTCACGGCCACCCTGGTGGGCGTGGGGACCCCAGAGCCCCCCAGGATGTCCTGCCAGCCCCCCACACCGCTGACCCTGCCAACCACCCACAGTTCAAGCGGATGCTGAACCGGGAGCTGACGCACCTCTCAGAGACCAGCCGCTCCGGGAACCAGGTCTCCGAGTACATCTCCAGCACCTTCCTGGGTGAGGCCACCCCTGCTCCGAGGTCACCTCCCCAGGGGCAGCAGGGTGGGCTCTGTGTCCCCAGAGAGCTGGTGTGCCCACGGGGATGATGGCAGCAGAGGGTCCCACTGGATTCTTGTGGAGGAATGGAATGGGGGGACACAGCGTTTGTCCTGGCTGGGAGTGCTGGCTCATACTGGTCTATACTGGTGCACTGGGGCTGTTGTGGCCGTCCTTGTGTGCCTGGAGAAGTGTCCAGGGGTCCCTGGCAGATGTGTGGCCTGTGGATGGGGGTGAGGTAAAGTGCTGCAGCCCCCCAGATTGTCACGGTGTGACCTGTGCCCATCCTCAGCGTGACACGGGGGGATGCTGGCGGTGAGATTTGGGCTCCTGCCCTGCTCACAGCCCCTTCGTGTCACCCCAGACAAGCAGCACGAGGTGGAGATCCCCTCGGCACTGGCAAAGGACAAGGAGAAGGAGCGGAGGAAGCGCCCCATGTCCCAGATCAGCGGCGTCAGGAAGCTGAAGCACGGCTCCAGCCTGGCCGCCGCCGGCATCCCCCGCTTCGGGGTGCGCACGGACCACGAGGCGCTGCTGGCCAAGGTGGGCCCTGGCAGGGGTGACCCACCCCACCGCGGGGTCCCCAGCACCGGCCCCCCATGGATCTCTGTCCCTCTGCTCCCCAGGAGCTGGAGGACACCAACAAGTGGGGGCTCGACGTGTTCAAAGTCGCCGAGTACTCGGGGAACCGCCCGCTGACCGTCATCATGTACAGCATCTTCCAGGTGAGCGTCCCGCCGGGATGTCCCCGTCCCCGTGGCCGGGTGGGGACGAGCCACCTCCTGCCTCCCCGCAGGAGCGTGACCTGATGAAGACCTTCCGCATCCCCGTCAACACCTTCATCACCTACATGCTGACGCTGGAGGATCACTACCACGCCGACGTGGCCTACCACAACAACCTGCACGCCGCCGACGTGGCGCAGTCCACGCACGTCCTCCTCTCCACACCTGCGCTGGAGGTGATTCCTGGTCACCCGAGGCCACCCAGGTGTGCCTGGCGGGGCCGTAACTCGTCCCCAATGCCTGTTCCCACCGTTCCTAGGCCGTCTTCACAGACCTGGAGATCATGGCTGCCATCTTCGCCAGCGCCATCCACGACGTTGATCACCCCGGCGTCTCCAACCAGTTCCTCATCAACACCAGTGAGCTGGGGAGCAGGGATGGACCTGGGGGATACTGGGGGACCCCAGGGGTCACCCCAGGGTGACCAGAGCCATCTTGCAGACTCGGAACTGGCGCTGATGTACAACGATGCCTCGGTGCTGGAGAATCACCACCTGGCCGTGGGCTTCAAGCTCCTCCAGGAGGAGAACTGCGACATTTTCCAGAACCTGAGCAGGAAGCAGAGGCAGACGCTCCGTAAAATGGTCATCGACATGGTATGGGGGGGCTGGACCACCCCGGGGGGGTCTGGGCTGGGGGATCAGGCTGAGATCCGTTCCCACCTCTCCCCGCCCAGGTGTTGGCCACAGACATGTCCAAGCACATGAACCTGCTGGCGGATCTGAAGACCATGGTGGAGACCAAGAAGGTGACCAGCCTGGGGGTGCTGCTGCTGGACAACTACTCCGACCGGATCCAGGTGGGGACACAGCTGGGGAATCCTTCCCAGCACTGCAGGTGTCCATTCTGGCTCTGTCCCATTTGGTGCCACCACCCTCCCAAACCCAGCTGGGGGGACCGAGCGAGTTGGTGGCACAGCGTGAGTGGCCCTGGGGGACAGAGGACGCAGCGTCCATGCCTGCAGGTCCTGCAGAACATGGTGCACTGCGCCGACCTCAGCAACCCCACGAAGCCTCTGGAGCTGTACCGGCAGTGGACCGATCGCATCATGGTGGAGTTCTTCCACCAGGGAGACCGGGAGCGGGAGAAGGGCATGGAGATCAGCCCCATGTGTGACAAGCACACCGCCTCCGTGGAGAAGTCCCAGGTGGGCTGGCGGCCTGGGGACAGCGCGGGGGACGCGGGGCCGGGCAGGGGGCTCAGCTCTGCCTCCCCCCAGGTGGGATTCATCGACTTCATCGCCCACCCGCTCTGGGAGACGTGGGCCGACCTCGTGCACCCCGACGCCCAGGAGCTGCTGGACACGCTGGAGGACAACCGAGAATGGTACCAGAGCATGATCCCGCGCAGCCCCTCCCCTCCGCCCGAGGGACCCGCCGTGTCCCCCGCCACCACCGACAAGTTCCAGTTCGAGCTGACGCTGGAGGAGGAGGAGGAGGAGGAGGAGGGTGAGTCGGACACGGAGCTGGAGGGCGCCGAGAGCCCCTTGGACGAGGACAACAGCGGCTCCAAGACGCCCGGCACAGATGACTCGGAGTCTGCCGACACCAAGCGCCCGTCCCCCGGCCCCGGGGACCGGGACTCGCCCGTCCCCTGCCCCAGGGACGTGGACAACCAGCGGGCGCTGGAGGGGACCCTGCCGAAGGACGGTGGCAGCGGGTGCTCCGTGCCAGGGCCTGAGGGCAGCCAGGGGCTGTGTCTGGACACAGAGGGCAACGTCACATTCCTGTCCCTGGGCACGTAGCGGCACCGGCCCGTGGGTCCCCTCGCTGCCTGGGGACACTGGGGAGCTGGCACCGGGGAGCACCGGCACTGTAGGGACTTGGAGGCACCCGGGTTGTGTCCCCGTTTGTCAGCTGGGCAGGTCCGGACAGGTACGAGGACGCTGCTGTCCTTCTCCCTGCTGCCAGCTGCTGGGAAAGGTCCCTGTCCCCCTCAGACAGGGCGTGGGGACACCGTGCTGTGGCCCCAGCCCTGTCCCGGGCACATCCCGCCCCGAAGGGCTGGAGGAAGGAGCGTTCCAGCACCTTTCCAGGTGTCCCCTTGCAGGACAGCAGCCGGGATGAGGTGGGCAGAGGGTGCTGGTGGCACCCCCAGGCACCGGCACACGGCACGGGCACGACTCCGTGGTTTATTTATTTGGGAATAGGTTCACTTTTTAAAGCCTTTTGTAGCTCACTTTTTACTACGAGCCTCTCCGAAGCTCACACACATTTTTGGGGCGGAAAGGTGCATTTTTGGGGAGGGAAGTTGCATTTCCCCTCTGCGATCACTCAAAACGCCATTTGTATTTCACATTTCGGACCCTGGCGGGTGCTGTCACCCACTCCACCCCCCCATCTCCAGCGTTCTGCCTGGGGCAGGGTCCTTTGGGATTCTTCCTTCACCTTCCAGAGATTAAACCCGGTTTGTTCCACCCTAAACACGAGCCTTGTAAGCGCCTCTTTGTGTCACGGGAGCCTCAGCCAATGTCCCCAGGGACCGGCGTGGTTGGTGGCCCCGTCTCCCGCCGGGCAGCGGGCAGGACCTGGCTCTGTGCTGGAACAAAAGCGAGCTCCTCCCTGGAAACGCCGATCCATCGCTGGCAAACACGACCTGCTAAGGTAAATATTTAATCGCCGGCTTGGCGCGGTGCGGAGCCCGATCCCGGCTCTTCCGCATTGCTCCCCACGGTGATTTATCTCCACAAACACGTCCCCACCCCTGGCACTGCCCGGGCACGTGGGGCCCTCGCCCCCTGCCCGCCCTGCCAGCAGCCCTGGTTCTTTCCCAGCACAGAGGTTTTCCAGGGGCCGGCCGGGAGTGCCGGGTCCTGCACAGGGTGGTGGTGGCTCTGTGCCATCCCTGCTGGGTGCTGATGTTCCTCATCCCTCAGGTAGAGAGACCGTGCTCTCAAACGCCTCGGATCCAGATCCAGCCCAGGCTCTGCGGGGCTGGAGCGGGGCAGGAGCTGGGAAAAGTCCTTATCCCCCCGTTTCTGGCGGAGGGGCTGTGGCACGAGGAGGCGGTGGGGCTGTTGCCTGGGAAAGCTGATGGAAAATGCTCATAGGAGCCAGGTCCATCCCTGAGCCTGGATCTAACCCTGAGCCTGGACCCATCCCTGACACTGGACCCATCCCTGAGCCTGGCCCCATCCCTAAGTGCAGAACCATCCCTAATTCTGGCTCCATCCCTAATTCTGGACCCATCCCTAATTCTGGCTCCATCCCTAACTCTGGATCCATCCCTAATTCTGGCTCCATCCCTAAGTGCGGATCCATCCCCGAGCCCGTGTCCATCCCCATGGCTGTGTCCATCCCACGCTGGACTGTCCGTGTCACCCCACTGTCACTGGGGGCTGTGGTCAATACACCCCCCTGCCCACCCAGTGCCTGGCGAGGGGCAAGGAGCTGCACCGGGGCAGAGACCGCGGCCCCCCCCGGGCGGGGCAGGGCAGGGCAGTGCCCGGGAGGCTCCCGGGGCCCCGGGCAGGGCAGGGCAGTGCCCGGGCAGGGCGGTGCCGCTGCCCTGAGGCCGCCATATGCTGCTGGCCCTAATCCCCGCTGGAGCCTCAGGGCGAGGGAGGACATGGCCGCCCCCACCTGCGCACCAGCCCCGCCTCAGCGTCAGCCGCCCTGTCACGGGAAGGATCAGGCTGCCCGCGAGTGCAGGACTGGGGAAAGCGTCGCGATAGTGCGCCATGTCGCGACAGGGAGGCTGTCAAACCTCGATCCCCCCCTTTGAGCGGGAATGGTTCGCCCTACACCCCCGCCAGGCAGGGGGTGGTTCATCCCGCGCCCCGCGGAGCGCGGACGGACCGCACCACTGCGCGCTGCGGGAGGAGGGGGCGGCGCCCACCACCGCGCCGGGAGGGGGAGCTCCTCCCCCCGTCCGCCCGCTGTCCATCAAAGCGCGCCGCCGAGCCAATCAGCGCTGCCCTCAGGGGCGCGGCCGTGACGTACAGACTCATTTGCATAGAGAGCCCCGCCCCTCAGCCGACGTCACCCGGGCTCCGCATCTGCTGCAGTCGCTGCGGGGAGGAGGCGGCGGCGCGAGCGCGGCAGAGGTGAGACCCCCCCCCCACCGGGACCCCCACCGGGACCCCCCCACAGCGACACCCCCGCAGGGACCCCCCCCGAGACCCCCTCTGTGACCCCCCCCGGCACCGGGAGGGGAGGGGCGGCTGCAGCGGAGGAGGCGGGAGGCGGGGGGGGGATGATGATGATGATGGATGCGGCGCGGGGGGGGCTGCGCAGGGCCTGGGGGGGGGTCTCGGTGCGGCGGGGACCGAGTGGGTGCAGCGGGGTCGGGCCTGCGGGGAGGTGACCCCCACCCCATCAGCACCCTGACCCCCCCATCAACACCCTGCCCCCCCCCAGCCGCACTCTGCACCCCCCCACCCCGCAATCAGCACCCTGCGCACCCCCCATCAGCATCCTGAACCCCCTTTCCTTGCAACGCTGCACCCCCCCCAAACATCACCACCCTGAACCCCCCCATCAGCACCCAGCCCCCCCTCCCTGCAGCGCCCTGCACCCCCCCATGAGCCCCCTTATCAGCCCCCCCCCTCCATCAGCACCCCGAAATGCCCATCAGCACCCAGCACCCCCTCCCTGCACCCCCCCCGCACGAGCACCCCGCATCCCCTCTGCCCGGCATCCCTGTGCTCCATCCCGTATCCCCCTGTGTCCCCCTGCCCTCCCCTCGGTGCCCTGTGACACCCCATGGAGCCCTGTGACACCCCACGGCTCTCTGTCACCCCACGGATCTATGTCACCCCATGGCTCTGTGGCACCCCACAGCCCTGTGTCACCCCACAGCCCTGTGTCACCCCACAGCCCTGTGTCACCCCACGGCTCTGTGGCACCGCGCTGGCCACAGCGTTGCGGGGACACCGCCGCCGGTGCCATTTTGTCACCGGGAAGATGCGGGCGAGGCTGCGGCGCCCCGGCCGCACCCCCAACGCCACGGCAGATCCCGGGAGCCGCGGCAAATCCCGGGAGCCGCGGCAATTCCAGGCGGCTCTGGCAAATCCTGAGAGCCACGGCAGAGCCTGGAAGCCACCGCAAATCTCTGGAGCCGTGGCAAACCCCGGGGGCCACGTGCCCCACATTTACGGTGGACACGCCGTGGGGTCCCTGCTCTGGGGGTGACAGGACGTGGCCTCCCCGAGCCCTTTGGGGCCGGGTGATCCATTGACAGCCACACCATCGCCCATCCTGAACCAAAATATTCCTGATCCGTGCCGGTGGTGCCAGGAAATGGCTCCAAACCGGGGCCTGGCACCGCGGAGGCTGCGGCCACCGGCCCCGTCACGGCCTCTGCCCCACCTTGCAGATGGCGTCCGCTACCGACTCCCGCTATGGGCAGAAGGAATCCTCGGACCAGAACTTCGATTACATGTTCAAGATCCTGATCATCGGCAACAGCAGCGTGGGGAAAACCTCCTTCCTGTTCCGGTACGCCGACGACTCCTTCACGCCCGCCTTCGTCAGCACTGTCGGCATCGACTTCAAGGTCAAGACCATCTACCGGAACGACAAACGCATCAAGCTGCAGATCTGGGTGAGGAGAGAGACCCTCGGGGGGCCCCCAGACCCCCCTGCTGGCCTGGGGTGATGGGGAGGGGGTGATGGTGTGGGGAGGTGGACGGTGGAGGCGGAGGTTGATGAGGGGTGATGGTCAGTGTGGGGTGGTGGTCAGTGTGGGGGGATGGTCAGTGTGGGGTGATGGTCAGTGTGGGGGGTGATGGTTGACTGGGTGATGGTCAATGTGGGATGATGGTCACCATGGAGTGATGGTCATTGTGGGGTGATGGTCACCGTGGGATGATGGTCACCATGGGATGATGGTCACCATGGAGTGATGGTCACCATGGGGTGATGGTCATTGTGGGGTGATGGTCATTGTGGGGTGATGGTCACTGTGGGGTGATGGTCACCATGGGATGATGGTCACCATGGAGTGATGGTCATTGTGGGGTGATGGTCACCATGGAGTGATGGTCAGTGTGGGGTGATGGTCACCATGGGGTGATGGTCACCGTGGGATGATGGTCATTGTGGGGTGATGGTCACTGTGGGGTGATGGTCAGTGTGGAGCTGCCCCACCAGGGGTGGGGTGTGGTGGATCCCACCAGGGTGGATCTGCCCCCATGGTGGAGCCGGCGGTGGCCCCGGGGGTGTCCCTGCGTCCCTGGAGGTGCCATTCTGCCGTCCCCCGTGCCAGGACACGGCCGGGCAGGAGCGGTACCGCACCATCACCACCGCCTACTACCGCGGGGCCATGGGCTTCATCCTCATGTACGACATCACCAACGAGGAGTCCTTCAACGCCGTGCAGGACTGGTGAGCGCCAGGACGGGCTCTGGGCACCCCAAACTCCCCCAGCCACCCCCTCCCCGCCCCTCTGATCCCTCCCTCCCTTCCCCAAGGTCCACCCAGATCAAGACCTACTCCTGGGACAACGCCCAGGTCCTGCTGGTGGGGAACAAGTGTGACATGGAGGATGAGCGCGTGGTCTCCTCGGAGAAGGGCCGCCAGCTCGCCGAGCACCTGGGTGAGTTGGGCAGGGGGGATCCCCCGCCACGGCTGCCAGACCACAATTAATTTAATTAAGGGCTTAATTCCCTCCGTGTAATTGCTCCGCTCCGACATCGGCGGTGACTTGGCACCCAGAGAGAAACCACGGAGCCGTTACACACCTTGAACTCTCCGAGAGACGCTGGGGGGAGGATTTGGGGGGTGAAAAAACCGGGATTTTGTGGGTGCTGGGGGCAGGCTGCAAACCCTTGAGAAGTTGGACGAGGGGAGGAGCAGCTGCGCGAGGTCGGACGCGGGGGCCGGAGCTTTGACGCGTGTCCCTTGTCCCTGTGTCCCCACCCCACACCCCCTCAGGGTTTGAGTTTTTCGAGGCCAGCGCCAAGGACAACATCAACGTGAAGCAGACCTTCGAGCGGCTGGTGGACATCATCTGCGAGAAGATGTCGGAGTCGCTGGACACGGCCGACCCCGCGGTCACCGGCGCCAAGCAGGGCCCCCAGCTCACGGACCAGCAGGCCCCCCCTCACCAGGACTGTGCCTGCTAGGGGCCAGCCCCTCCCCAAAACCCCCC